AACAAAAACAAACTGGCACGTGCATTCTCATGTTCTGTGTCTCATGTTCTGTGCTGGCCTTAGCTCCAGGTGGGGTTCATTTGCAAAGTGAGCTTGTCTCCTCAGCCCAGCACACCTAGGTCTCCCATACGGAGTGATCTGACCTCTCTAATGGGTTCTGCTGAGTAAGAAAAAGGCTGTGATTATTATGAGCACACTAACTGAATGACTTGTAGAGCATTATTCCAGGAGGCAAGGCCCCTTCTTGCGCCTCATCCCTTCTTGGGGCTTGCCGGAAGAAAGTACCAGAGAGCACGGCCAGGTTTCCCAAGGCAACACTGGACATACGTCCACTGGACCTAACGCTAAGAGCTCTTTCCTAGTGCCAGTCTGGGGAAGGGCAGAGTCAGGCTGTTTACTCTGAACCTGTTTGGGCTGTAGAGCAGAGGGCGGGGTGAGAAGCAGGGCGAATGTGGAGGTCCCCGGGAGTTTCTGGGAACCAGGCTTAACTGCTCTGCATTGGTTGGAGCTGTGGGCTTGATGGAGTGAGCAGGGTCAGATGAGAATCCAGGTAAGGTTGCTTCGGTTTGGGACACTCGGACTGAACCCAGGGTGTCGTGCGCGCGCTAACCAAACACTCTACCGCTGAGCTATATCTGCAGCGTTCTTTTTACCTTTTATTTATTTTTTTTATGTTTTTGGTTTTTTGAGACAGGGTTTCTCTGTAGCTTTGGAGCCTGTCCTGGAATTAGCTCTTGTAGACCAGACTGGCCTCAAATTTACAGAGATTCACCTGCCTTTGCCTCTCGAGTGCTGGAATTAAAGGCGTGCGCCACCACCGCCCGGCTTTACTTTTTATTTTCATACTAGATCAAAATTAACTGCTCAGTCTAGCCTTGAAGGGTCTTCCTTCCTTCCTCGGCCTCCGAAGGAGCTGAGATGAAAGGCCCGTGAAACCAGGTAAGGTTTTAACAAACACTAAAAACCGTGAACTACTTTTGATTTAGAGAATGGCTTTGTACAGTGTCTGGGATTTTCTCCTCAAGATGAACTTTGGCCACTTATTGCCCAACAGCCGTTCTCCTGGGTATATAGCAAGAGAAACTTGTTCCCGTGTACGTGGGAGACACACATGTGAAGGCTGAGATAGTACTGTGGATGACGGGGCAACCCAGTGCCTACCTAATCGGTGAACCAGCCAACGGGGCAGTATGCAACAGTCAAAAAGGCACAGCAAGACACAACAGTGTGGACACATCCTAGCAATGTAATACTAAAAGAAAAATCCTAGAAGATTGCATATATGTTTAAAAACAACTAAATATTTACTTTTAAGAATAAATAGATGTGGGGGCTGGAGAGATGGCTCAGAGGTTAAGAGCATTGCCTGCTCTTCCAAAGGTCCTGAGTTCAATTCCCAGCAACCACATGGTGGCTCACAACCATCTGTAATGGGGTCTGGTGCCCTCTTCTGGCCTGCAGGCATACACACAGACAGAATATTGTATACATAATAAATAAATAAATATTTTTTAAAAAATTTAAAAAAAAAGAATAAATAGATGTATATAACATTATTCTAACTATGGACTAAGAAAGCAGGGTTTGGTGGTATGGTTTGAATCCAAAATGCCCCCCACACACACACCAGGCTGCTGTTTTGGACACTGATTCCCTAAGGTATTGGTGCTGTTTGGGAGGGTTATGGAAGCCGTAGGGGGTGGGGCCTAGGTGGTAGAACTGGTCTAACTGAGGTTCGCCTTTGAAGGTTCTGGCCTGGCCCTGGCCCCAGCTCTGGCTGGCTTTCTCTGCCTCCTAGTCCACCATCATATGAGCATCCGCCACAAGTTCCAGCCTCCGTGAACACAGCGGTGCCTTCCCTGTGACACACTAACATCCTTGGCACCGTGAGCAAAACCAAAGCTTTGTCCCCGGAGCTGTTTCTAACCGTTTTGGTCACAGCGATGAAACAGAAATTAACACGGATGCTGTACACAGGACACATTCCACTGACCTTTTCCTAGCTCAGGACCCTATGCCGAGGCTGCTGGGAGGGCCATGCCACTGAGTGTGGGTTATGAGTCAGAGCCTAGGCTGGTGAGACGGCTCAGTGGCCTAATGACCTGAGTTCTGTCCCCAAAAACCAACCAGTGGAAAGAGAGAACCAGCTCCTGAAAGTTGTCCTGTGACCATCACATGTGTGCTGTAGCAGGTCCCCGCCTGCACTCGTATATGTATCATACACACATGCACAATAATAATAAATAAACAAGATTGTAAAGGCAGTGAGTGTTCGCTTCCACAGTGCTGATAACATCGTGTAAAACAGGAGAAGAAATAGATGCGTGAATTAAATGGGCCCTTAATAGGCCAGGAAGGAGAGTGGACTACCGGACAAAGATTAGGAAGCTTTGCCTTCAGGGCCGAGACTCAGCAGACAGAAGAGGTCATTCCTTCCCCTGGGCTTAGTCAGAGAAGTGTAGGAGCCCAGTGAACACGGAGCAGAGTGTGCAGGGACACACGGGGGATGGAGGGGCAAGATGGGCCTAAAACAGCCTCTGAGTTGCTACCCTTATGGGAGCTGAACGATCCTTTTACAGGGGTCACATATCAGGCATCCTATATATCAGATATTTACATTATGATTCATAACAGTAGAAAATTATAGTTACAAAGTAGCAATGAAAATAATTTTATGGGGGGGGGTAGTGTCACCGCAGCATGAGGAACTGTATTAAAAGGGTCGCTGCGTTAGGAAGGTTGAGAGCCGCTGGCCTGAGAAGTTCCTAGGGCGTCATTGGGCTTGTTTTGTGGAATGAGGTACACACCTATGTGTCTCGATCTTGTCTGATTCCAAACAGCACTGCAAGATTGGTTTCTCAGTCTAAGCCAAGCCTGGTTGTTCACCTCCTCCCCTGCGCTCACCCTCAGAGGCTGACATCTCCAGCTGTGGGTGCTTCTGGGTGGGAGGAGAGGTTTAAGCAAAGCATCCCGATTGTTCCAAAGATTATCCTGGCTTGTGTGAGCCTGTTCACGGTACAGGGAAACGCAGCTGGGGTCTGGGGCCAAGGCTGGGCAGCAAGGCAGGCAAGCAGAAGGCTGGGAGCAGAGGCCCTTCCTTGGAAGCCTCTCTCTCCTCAGCTCTGGCACTGCCACACCTTGGGGACTCTGGCTTTTTCTGACTATCCCCCTGCACTGTTCCCTACCCTAGGGATGGCCCCTTTGAGAAAGTAGCCTTCTCTTGACGGGCCATCTCTCCTGCCCTCAGCTTCTTAGGAAATCGAAAAGGTTTTCCATCCAAGGTCGAAAAGCATTTGCTAAAATAAGAGAATCATAAAAATAAGGCATGAGTACTTCGAGTATTTTGCTTCCACTTCAAACCCCTAAAGCGGGAGCCAAGACCTGTCTGCAAAGGTGGCCGTCCCTGGATGTCCGGGTGAATTTCTTTCATAAACTGCAGCTGTAGTTTCTCAGGTTCCTGTGGGCTCACCCTGCCTTCCACTGTGCACTGTTCCGGAGCAAAATGGGCTAAGTCTTCATTCAAGAGCATTCGTTGTTTGTTTTTGTTTGGTGGGGTCTTGTTGTATAGCCCAGCTAGCCTGGAACTGCACCCTCCCTCTTCATCGTCGCTGAGATAAAAGGCCAGTGCCACCTCTCTGGGCCTGAGGGGCAGTTAGGTTCTCATGGGAACACATCAGGTACACCCAACATTCGGGGCCCCTTTTTGCCTGTTTGGGGAGCTATTTTCCTAGCTGATGTCTGTTGGTAGGAAGCAGGTGCCTCATCTTACAGATGGGAACACTGAAGGCCCCCAATACTGGCTCCACCAGGTGACCCCTCCGAGCAGAATGGAGGTAGAGAGGACTCAGATCATGCTCAGCCATTTTCTTTCTTTTTTTTTAATTAATTTTATTGAGCTCTACATTTTTCTCTGCTCCCCTTTCCTTCGCCCTCCCCTTAACCCTCTCCCATGGCCCCATGCTCCCAATTTACTCAGGAGATCTTGTCTTTTTCTACTTCCCATGTAGATTAGATCCATGTATGTCTCTCTTAGGGTCCTCATTGTTGTCTAGGTTCTCTGGGATTGTGATTTCTAGGCTGGTTTTCTTTGCTTTGTGTTTAAAAACAACTTATGAGTACATGTGATAATTGTCTTTCTGGGTCTGGGTTACCTCACTCGAAATAATGTTTTCTAGTTCTATCCATTTGCCTGCAAATTTCAGGATGTCATTATTTTTTTCTGCTATGTAGTACTCCATTGTATAAATGTACCACATTTTCCTTATCCATTCTTCAGTCGAGGGGCATTTAGGTTGTTTCCAGGTTCTGACTATGATAAACAATGCTGTTATGAACATAGTTGAGCATGTGTCCTTGTGGCACAGTTGAGCATCCTTTGGATATATACCCAAAAGTGGTATTACTGAGTCTTGAGGAAGGTTGTTTCCTGATTTTCTGAGAAATTGCCATACAAATATTCAAAAGGGCTGTACCAGCTTGCACTCCCACCAGCAATGGAGGAGTGTTCCCTTTACCACACATCCTCTCCAGCATAAGTTGTCATCAGTGTTTTTGATCTTGGCCATTCTTATAGGTGTAAAATGGAATCACAGAGTTGTTTTGATGTGCATTTCTCATTCAGCCATTTTCTAACCCTTGAGGGGTAGTGATCTCTCTCTCTCTCTCTCTCTCTCTCTCTGTGTGTGTGTGTGTGTGTGTGTGTGTGTGTGTGTGTGTGTATGTGTGTATGGATAGCTCATTGAGTAGATGTGTTGGGGGCATTAGGAACCTTGAAGCCAAAGACTGATTCTGACACCTCAGTGACTCTTTTGCAAGCATGTCCTGGTCTCTGGGTCTCAGTGCTGCCATTTGCAAAAAGGAAGACAAAGCTATGCAGGGTTTACAAAACCAATTTTCAGAGCTTCTGCTCGGTTGAAATGTGCCTGTTTGAGCAGTGGCCACGGTGACCGGCTCACGCCAATCCAACACTGATGCCGTGATTCTGTCTCCTCCCCCTCCAGTTTCTCTTGGCTCTGTGGACACGTGCACAGGAGCATCCTCTCCAAGTTCACCGGCCAGGCAGTGGAGCTGTTTGATGAAGAGTTCCGACGCCTCTATGCCTCCTCCAAGCCTGTGATGGGCCTGAAGTCCCCGAGGCTAGTGGCCCCGCTCCAGCCCAGCAAGGGTCCGGGAGCCTCCAATGGTCGCCTCAGTGGAAGCAGCGGCTCTGCCAGTGACCGCACCTCTTCTAACCCCTTCAGTAGCCTGTCAGCCGGCAGCAATCCCCTCAACCACAGTCTGTCCATATCCTCAGGGCCGGCCAGCCCCCTGACCCCCATCGCACCTGTGGCTCCAAGGCTTCAACCCTATCACGGTCCCCGGAGAGCCATGGCCCCACAGGCCTTATTGGTCCCCATGAGGCCCTATGAAGGATCACCTGTTCCCTACAGCACCTTCATGGCCTATAGGCCCACGCGGTTGCAGCTGCAGCAGCTCGGCCTGGTACCCAGGGCTATTCACCCCTGGGGGCCTCTTCTACAGGCCTTGCCTCATTTTTGAAGGGTCCTTTCCCCTCATCGACTTCCTGGTGGGGGGGGGTGAGAATTAGGCACTGCTAAATTTTCTGATGCAAAGGCTGTGCCTTAGCAACCAATAGGATTGAGCCTGATCCCCTATGAGCTAAAAGCACTGGTTGGGGAGAGGGGGATTATTACCTACCTCTAAATATTCCCAGGTCTGAGACCATCCACTTGACAAACTGTATCAGCTCCTTGGTTTTCCTCAGTAGGCCTAGATAACCAGCCCCTTCTAGAAGATTCCAGGGAGGCAGTCGAGAGCCCTCAATGACAAAATGTGACTGAGAACCCCTGTCTTCTAGAGGTCATCCTGGACTTTGAATATTGATGTCGACATAAAGCAAACATGGGTAGATGTTTGATCAAAGGGGCCACTCCCCCAAAGACCCAGAGAGGGAAGATGAACAAGCATGAGAACATTCTGGATGTTTCTGGTAGGAAATGCCCCTCCCTGTTAAATGTCTTAAAGCTGGAGTTCCCCGGACCTGATGGATTAGTAATGAGACCCCAGAAACTGTCTGTGATTATGAGGGGCTCTCTGAAGCTACAGCCAGCAGGAATGGAACAACCTGATTCCAGAAGGCTTTTTAACAGACTCTGATTCTTGCGTAAGAGAACCCTGGCCCGGAAGGCCTGGAAGCCTGGGCTGGCTGCAGGGACTTGAGTTGTCATGGCTACGTATGGCCTTCAGCAGGGCCCCGGGCAGCCTTGGATAACTTCTCAAAGGTTCAGCTGGCCCAGGGCAAGCGCCTGCCTCTAGCTCTGGAGTCTCTGCTTATTCTGTTGATACCCTGAGAAATAAATGTGGAACCCTCTCAAGGCCACCATTAGTTCCTTCCTAAAGAATGTGACCGATGTACACCTCTACTGGGGTAGCTGAGGGGAGGGAGGAGATGCGTTTACAAGATAAGCCCCAGGCTAGTCCAGCCAAAAGAAGGCAGGAACCTGGGACCTTGATCACACACACACACACACACACACACACACACACACACACACACACACACTCCTGCTAGTCATAACCCATCACAGCAAAACCCTGGGCTTTACTGACAAGGGCTTAGCAGCCCTAGGAATAGACCCCTCTTTCCTCCTGTACCCTATTCCTGACAGCTATAGCGCACTCATTTCCAACCCATCCATCCCTCTGCTCTTATTTACCAACACTCCTGCCAAAGGAGGGCCACTCTGGTTTCTTTCCAATTCTGTTCCCACCCTCCCTTTACTTTGTTCTCTCTTAGTTCCAACAATTGAAAAAAAAAAGGAAAAAAAAAGAAAACTCGTATTTGAATTCTGATTTTTTTTCAAGACAGATTTCTCTGTGTAACAGTTCTTGCTGTCCTGGAACTCATTTTGTAGATCAAGCTGACCTCAAACTCACAGAGATCTTCCTGCCTCTGTCTACCAAGTGCTGGGATTAAAGGCATGTGCCACCACTGCCTGGCAGATTCTGATTTTTTTTAATATACACAGAATATGAAGGTTTATTTCAAAAAAGACTGTTTTTTTTAGTTATATATGTAGTGTGTGTATGTGTGTGTGTGTGCACACGCGCGTGTGTGTGCGTGTACATGCACAGAGGACATGTGTGGTGGTCAGGTCTTTTTTTCCACCATGTGGGGCCCAGGGATCAAAGACAGGCCTTCAGGGTTGGTGGCAAGTTCCTCTTAACTCTCTGAACCATCTTACCAGGTAGCCCCAAGGCTGCTGTTACCCTCCTGACATTCGGGTGAATATAGAATTACCAGGCCTGGATGAGTTCTAAACTGAATTTCACAGTTGACTAAGAAAGTTAAAATGAGAGAAAGCTCACGGGGTAACAAAAACTCCTGGAGTCTTCCTTCTAAGGCCTGCTGATGTATGCTGGAAAGAACTCAGCCCTGGAGAAAGAAGAACCTTCCAGCTCCTGGCCACTCCTAGCCAGAAGTTTCCCTGTGCTCTGCCTCTATGTCAGGCTATTCAAAATGTACAACATCTGCTCTGTTGAGCCCTCATAGTTGGTGACAACCTGCTGCCTGGGAGGTAGGGCCAGCCTTGCTCTGATTAGTGGCATGGCAGAGCCTGTAGTTTCAACCGGAAGGACTTGGAAGGTTGAAGCCCTCCTCTGCCTGCTTCGCGTCTGCGGCAACAACGATCCACAGAACACACACACACACACACACACACACACACCCCACCACCCCCACCCCCGCCCAGTCCCACCACCTGCCTTGCAATGGAGAGATAACATCAAGGAACAAGCCTATGTTATTTAAGCGACTGGGAGGTACGAAGTTTCTTTTATATCACAGTCCAGTTTAACCTGACCAATAAGACCTCTGAGACCCCTGGCCTGATGGAGAGACATTCTCTGGGGGTGGTTTGAGCTCCCTTCTAGAGACCTGACTCCCAGCACTGACCAACCAAAGTTTTCAGCGCCTGGCAGCGGATGATGGAAAATCAGATCCAGAATACTACATCTAAATTTCAAGTCTTGCCAAAAGCGCGATATCAGAGCTGCGGCTCTTGGCCACAAGGAGCAGAGGGAGGAGCTGAATCCCCAGCTGAATTCTATTCAGAGAGCTTGGGATCTGAGTCGGCAGTGGGCTAACAGCTGGGGAAAGAGCAACACTAGCTTGCCACCTCCCACCAGCAGACTTGACAGGGAAGCAGAGACAAAGACAGTCTCTTCAGGAACTCGGTCTTGCCCCCTGATCACGTGGTCAGTCATATTTTATAAATATTTTTAGCTATTCTTTGACAATTTCAAACATGTAAACAATGCAACTTGATCATACATGCTCCAGTCACCAGCTCCCAGGAACTACTGAGTCCATATGGTGCTGCTGGCCGGTTGGAATGTTGGCTATTCTTGCCGGCTTGATCTTAGGTCTTGTGCAAGTAAGCATAGCTACAGTGAGTCTGTGGGTGAGATTGGTCATGCTGTGCCCAGAAGACGGCATTTCACAATGCTTCTCCCTATCCTCTGGCTCTGCCTCCTCTCCCATAACGTTCCCTGAGTCTTGCAGTGTGTGTGTGTGTGTGTGTGTGTGTGTGTGTGTGTGTGTGTTGATGTAAATGTCCCATTTAAGGATGAGCACTCAACAGTAATTTATTCTCATGAGTCTCTGCCTTTACTGGTGACCATGGCAAAGAGGCAGAGAGAAGTTTCCCTAGCCAAGACTGACTTGTGAATACAAACACCAACAGTCACAATGCCATTAGACAACATGACAATAGCAAACAAGAGTAGGCTCCCCCTAAGGCCTATGGTCTCTCCAGTCATGATCTCGATAAAGTTTACGGTACCAGGTATGAATTCCGTCCTGTGGAGCAGCCTTCAAATCCTGATGGCTCAAAAGCTGTTGGTTACCCCCATAACCTTTGTGCCGCTATTGTACCAGTGGGCACATCTCTCCTGGCAGGCTGATAGAATAGGATTAGGGGTTGTCTGCCGGTGTAACGTTAATGTTTTTTCTCCCCACCCCTCACCCCTGCAACCTTCACAACACCTTGCAGCTCAGTGATAGCTAGCCATCAGGAAGGAAGTCTTCAGGTCAGCTTAAGCTTGATTCTTCTGTATCGTAAAGCCAAAGCATGTTGTGTCATAAGCAATAAGGTCTTACCATCTAGTTCTGGTAGGCAACCAAGAGCAATGGCGATAAACCTATACTTTTGGGGGAGGCTCTGGGGCCTCTCTGGACAACAACTTCTAGGGAGGCATCCTACTCCTGGCACTGAGATTTTCTCAGACATATTTCTGAACCTTGTGCCTGAACCCCTCTCATGACCCCTCTTGCGTTCTTTCTTTCTCCAAATGTCTGGACACAGTGACCCTTGGAACCCTGAGTGGAGCCCGTATTTGCTGGTACAAATCCTGTCTGTACTCCTCTAGAAGCTGAGGTAACTCAACATGCAGGACACTGACAGTGTGCACATGCTAAGGTATTACTAATATGCATGTACAGCTTTCATACTGAAATACCAATATGGTTTTATAGCGTGGAATACAAAGGCGCACATACCCATCCGTCCCCTACCGCTTTCATGCTATATTTAGTTCTACTTGGGGTTATAATCCTTTCTGGGTCTCCTTCCCTAGGGCCTGCTTGTTGGAGCACTCCTTAAATGGTAGTCTCTACTGCAGAGTGAAGTTCAACAATGGTACCTGGACATCCTTCATGGGCACAGCTCTCTGCCCTGAGAGCCCAGGATTAGTAGGAAGGACCTACCCATGAAGACCACCAGAAATTCCAGAAGAAAATGAAAAGAACGGCAGGATTTTTTAGTTGTAGCGGGTCCTACAGAAGGCGGTGCGTCCCCCATGAGAAGGCCCTCACTGACTGGGCACGTTGGCGGCTAATGACCACATGCTTCTAGAATCTTCTCTCCTTGACAGTGTCTGTTGCAATCATTGGTCTTCATACAACGCTGACCTTGTATTGCTCCATCTACACTGTAAGAGCCCACAGACCAAGAGTGTCTCTGCAGCCCTGACAGGCCAGCAGCAATGCCCTGTCTAGTCCACAGGTTGTCAAGCTTCCTCAGTCGAGTGCTGGTGGGAAGATTTCCTCCAGCAGGGCCATGGCAGCCCCAAGACTGCCTCAACGGGTCAGGAAGAAGGAGCTCCCACCTTGGTGTGACTTCACAGCTTGCCCTGCTGGCCTGTCGCCAAAGCAGCTTCTTCAAATGCTTCGTTTTCTGGACTGGACCCAAGAAGCTGTCGGACACAGAGGAACTGTCAGTCAGTTTCTCAGCTTCCTCCTCGAGAGTGTCTGTGTGTCAGAAAAACTGTTATTCGGAATGTAAACACTGCAGACACACGCAGACAAGCGAAGATACAAGCCCTCTTCGCCGTCATTCAATGTGTCCTAAGGTAAATTGTGCTCCTCACAGCCCTCGGCCGTCCTCCCTCTGCAGAGCTGGGGAAGATGGCCGGGCAGTGTTGAGCAGTGTACAGACAGAAGTCCTGTGTGGATGGCTATAGCACAGTGGTACCGTGCGTGCACAGGGCTGAGGGCGGCCTCTTCACGGTCTTCCCCCAAGATGGGAGAGAGAGTCTCTGCCTAGTGGCCTTTGCTTGGGAACAGATTTCTAGATGTTCCCACTGAAATAGGTACCTGTGAAGATGCCCAGGCTCCCTGCAATCCAGTCTCCTGGCTCCCCTGAGCAGCACCATCCAGGCCTCTCCATTGAGTGTTGAGAAAAAAGCCAGGCAAACACTGGAAGCAAGGGAAGTGCTACACGCCAAGTCAAAAGGGCACGT